CACAGAAACACCAAGTTACAGCAGTGAGCCTCATGACAAGGTCTCAAACACTCACATGACTTAAATACAACTCTCCCATTCCCCATTTTCCAGCCACCCCAGGAATCCATCCAGCTGCTCACATCCAACAGTTATATAACACTTTAACCCTGATTTCCCTCAACAAACAAGTGACACATTTCTTATGTGCCTGTTTCACATCCTCCTCATGATGTCCATGGGTGGAACACAGAATTCCGTTCAGGACACCCAAGCAGCACTGCCAGCCTGCCTTCTCAAGCTAAATTTAGCCCCTGTGAGTGGAGTGTACACAGAAAAGGGATAATGTGCATGGAACTGCTGGAACAGAGATTGCATTATCCCTCGTTGGCAAACCAATCTGCCTGAGTCTGGGTGTCCCCCCAGCCTCCAGCTGGCACATGTCCCCCTGCTGCTCAATATTCTTGGATTGGGAAAGGAAACAGGCTCTCCAAGAGGGTTTTCCACCTCAGAAACTCACTCCTGATTGGAATTCCCAAGGAGGAGGTGGCCAGCTGGGCACTGGCACTGCTGTCACGGCTTAGCCACTCCAGAACCCGGTGGCTGAGCATGCTGAACACTGAATCTCCCTGGAGTGAAGAGGGAGGTTGGACTCCATGATCTGAGAGGTCTTTTCCAACCTTAAGGATTCTGTAACTCTGTGGACAGTTCAGACTCAAACCTCACCAGCAAACCAGCTCCTCCACCTGAACCTCACTCCTATTGAATTAAGAAGATCAATGATTTTAATCCAACTGCTACTTCGAGCTCTGGGCTCCCCAGCACTGGAAGGATGTGGAGCTGCTGAAATGAGTCCAGAGAAGGCCATGGAGATGCTCCAAGGGCTGGAGCCCCTCTGCTCTGGAGACACCTTAGAGCCTCTTTCAGTGCCTAAAGAGGCTCCAAGAGAACTGGAGAGGGATTTGGACAGGGGATAAAGGGACAGGACAGGTTGAACAGGGCTTGTAGCAACCTGGTCTGACGGAAGGTCTCCTTGCCCATGGCAGGGGATGGAATGAGATGAGCTTTAACGTCCCTTCCAATTGAAACCATTCCAGGATTCCACAATTCTAAAAAGTCTTCTTTAAATTTTGAAATGGCTTTTTTCCTAGAATCTCTCCTACAGTCACCTCAGAATTCCCACTTTGCCAACCCCACTGCAGGAATCAGCCTGGTCCCTGACTCAGAACACACACACATACCACAGTCTCTCCTGCTGAGTTTTTCTTGGTTTTCCTTTTCTTTTTTTTCTTCCGTGGCTTGTTACTCGTTGCCAGCTGCAAAGACAAAGGGAAGAGCTGTCAGCATTACCATGAACTGCAGAGGTGACAGCTCCATGGGAAGAAGAGCATTTCCCATGGGGATCAGCACACTGAGGGTCCTTAAATGAAACCAAAATTCACCCTTTAGTGTTTGTTAGTGGGTGGAAATGAAGACACAAGGAGAAAACAGAGGAAAGCACCAAAGAGTCACAAAGGGTTAAACCTCAGCTGATTTCCACATCAATGTCTAAGGCTACAAAACCAGGAGAGAGACAAGTTTAGCTGTGCCAGGTGTGGAGGAAATGCTTCAGCATCTTTCAGTGCCCAGGATAAGCTGCATTTCTGCTTTCTCGGTGAGTGGGACAGTTCCAAATTTCACTCCCATTTCCACAGAAATCAACACCTGACAAAGGCCCCAGCACCAGAGTGCCTCTCCCCTGCAACTGCTTCAGCTCAGGATGCTGGGGGATTGTAGACCTGATTTTCTGAGTCTGAGAGAGTTTTCAGCCTGTCAGTGACTGATCTGTTCCCAAGGGAAAGTCTCTTGAGAACATTTCTCTCTCAAGGACTGTGTTTTGTAAATAGACAGTAGTTCTCAGAACAATATTGTACAGCTGTGTTAAGCGTTTTCTCTTGTCCCATCAATGAGATGAGAGAGGTGTTGTTCCCTTTAGCAATCATGTTAAACCTGTATTGGAACACCTTATAAAAGGAGCTGAAAAACCCCAAAATAAAACCCTTCTCTTCGGATAATCATACCTCTGCCTGCTGTAACTAAATCCATGCCACTTACCTCGTGTCCAGTAGCGACAGGGGATCCCCTAACCTGACTGGCACAGCTGGGAAGCACATTTCCAGGATCTAGCAGGTAGCTCAGCAAGGGATCACAGCATCATGGAATGGTTTTGGGTAGAAGTGACCTTAAAGTTTATCCAGTTCCTACCCCCTGTCTGGGCAGGGACACCTTCCACTACACCAGGTTGCTCCAAGCCTTGTCCTGGCTCTACCCAAGAGCAGCAGCTGCCTGCCCAGGGCTCCCATGTCCTCCCTGGAGCTCTGGGAGCAGCCACAGGTGTGTCCTGAGGTGCTGGCACAGCAAACTCACCAGATCAGGAGCCCTGGAGTCACTGCTCACACAGGGACCCACTATCCAGAGCACCCACAGGCCCTGGGCTGGCAGAGGCCAGCGGCACAGCTGGAATGTACACAGACAGTGGACTTTGCTCCTCTGCCACCCAAACCAGGAACACAAACCCCAAATGCACAGCCAACAAGTGAGACCAAGGGCCAACCCCTTTGCTCCCCCAACCCTCTTCTCCATGAGATCTGGGCTGGACTCGCCATGGAAAATTGTTAATTAAATGCCCCTTTCCTTACAAAATCCTGCAAGGAGACACTTCTGGGCTGATACAGACCACAGGATCAATACCCAATGACAACAAATCACTATGGGGAAGAAGAAGTTCAGTGTTCAGTTGACACTGCTTGAAGTTTTCACATCCCCTGTTCCAAAACAAATGCCTCCTTGAGAACACTCCTCCCTGGCCTGACCTCAGAGCTCATGTGGACACAGCACAATGACCTCCTTGGGTGCCTCCTCTCTGCAGCTGGAAAATCCCTCTGCACCCTACACACAAACCCAGCTCTCAACACCAAACTGCTCATCCTCACACAGATACGAGTTCCCAGTGGGCATCCCTCCGCTGGATCCTTGGGAGCAGTTACCGTTTGGTCTGGCTGCTCAGCCTCCTGCCCCTCTCTCTGTCCATCACCGTCCGTCTCCTCAGTCACAGCCCCTTCCTTGCTCCTGTCCTTGCTCCTGTCCTTGCTCCTGTCCTTGCTCCCTCCTGCCGTGTCCTGCTCACTGAGCCGGGTGTCCGGTCGCTCCTCCCCGGCCGCCGGCTCATCCTCCGACTCCTCAGCTGGGATCTGCAAACAGAGGGACAAGCTGCAGGGACAGCCCAGGGATGGAATTCCCCACGGATCTGATCCAACACTCCACCTGCAAATAGATGGAGTTTTGGACACCCCTCATGACAAGCATGGACCCAGTGGCTGCCCAGACAGTCCCATGCACATGGAGGGGAGCACAGGATCTCCTCACACCATGGACTCTCCTCTTCCCTTGGAAGAGCCTCCAAACCCAGCCTTGCCTGTGCTGACACAGCCAGGCCTCGGGGAAGGACAGGGAATGGCTGGGGCTGGATCAGGTGTGTGGAGGGCAGGACAAGGCTCTGGACAAGGCACACTAAGGACCCAGCAGTACCACCAGGGCCCATCTGACATCCAGCACTGGGATCCTGCAGTGCTGGGAAGGTGGCAGGGATATTCCTAAAAACAGTTTCACCAGTCCAGCTCTGACAACATCCAAACCCAGCCTTCCCCAGGCCTCTCTCCCATTTCCTCCCAGTTCAGCCCCAGTTACTGCCCAGCACCACCCAAACCGATCACTCCCACCCCAATCGCTGACCCCAAATCACTGTCATACATATTGTCACCTCTGCCACCCCCGCTGTGAGCCCTTCCCAGTCCCTGCCCCCTGTTCCCTCCAGTCACCCCCACACCCCGCCAGCCTCTGCCCCCAGGTCACTCCAGCCACCTCCAGTGACTTGTCACCTCAGCTGTCCCCCAGCAATGTCCCGGACTGCCCACCCAGCTGTCACCCCCAGTCACTTTCCCCCCGAGTCCCTGACACCCCAGCAACCCCCAGCAACCGCTGCACCCCGGGGTCCCCCGGCTTTGCCCCCCTCACCAGCTCGAAGCGGTTGCTGACGCCGGCGCGGGGCGGCCCGCGGGGTCCCTTCCCGGGGGCTGGCGGCGGCCCCCCCTCACGGGCGCGCTCCGGGCCGGGGTCGAGGCCCAGCTCGCCCAGCCCCGGCCCCTCCTGGCCCCGCTGCTCCCCCCGCAGCCGCCTCAGGGCCCGGCGCGACATCGCCCCCACCCGCTCCGCGCCTGCGCCCAAACTGCGCCTGCGCACCCGCCCCGCGCCGGGCCCGCCCACTCCCACCGAGCGCACCCATTGGCTGACGCTCAGCAGGCCACGCCCCCTGAGGGGCTCGATCTCCGGCCCGGAACCGGGAGCGTGGGAACCGGGGCGAGGCACGGCCCGGGACACGGCTGGGGACCGGGGACAGCCTGCGCCGGGCCCGGGGACAGCCTGCGCCGGGACCGGGGACAGCCTGCGCCGGGACCGGGGACAGCCTGCGCCGGGCCCGGGGACAGCCTGCGCCGGGACCTGGGACAGCCTGCGCCGGGACCGGGGACAGCCTGCGCCGGGACCTGGGACAGCCTGCGCCGGGACCGGGGACAGCCTGCGCCGGGCCCGGGCACAGCCTGCGCCGGGACCGGGGACAGCCTGCGCCGGGCCCGCGGTGGGAGGGCCGTGGGAATGGGGAGCGGGATGTTCCCGCGGTGCTGTGGGGGGTCACGGGTGGGCACAGGCCGGGGGGGAGGAGGGATGGCGGTGGGAGATGTGCACGGTGAAATGGAGTGCCCCCATCCTCGATCCCCTCACACCCCGCAGCACCCTTCACCGCTCTTCCCCATCCACTCAGGACCAGCCACGCGGCCCCAGGGCAGCCCAGCGGGTTTATTATGGAGGGGACATACAGAACAGCCGTGCCAGCCCAGGGCACCGGGCACCCCGGCACAGCCAGGGCTTGGCACAGAAGCGGGGCCGGGGGGACAACGCAGGGGCTGCGGGTGTCCCACAGCAGGATCCATCCCCCAAGAGCTGCCCCGCAGCGGGACCCGTCCTCCGGGGCTCTGCAGTGTCCCACAGCGGGATCCATCCCCTCGGGGGCCGGTGGCGGGGACAAAAGGGGATGGCAGGGACAGCGGGAACGGCTCCTTCTGCCCCCTGGTCCATAACGTATATAAATATAGAAGCTGTGTGTATCCATCCTATGTATATATGTACATCGGGGGGCTGTGCCGGGGTGACCGGCACCCCCGTGGCGACCATCACCGGGGCGCCCGGCCCTTCACTGGAGCCACGCGTCGCTGTAGAGGGAGCGGGCCTTGGCGCGGCGCCGGGACGCGGCGCTGGCGTTCAGGACGGCCACGCTGCGGCGGCTGGAGCTGACCACGTCCGTGACGAAGCCGGCGCAGTCGGAGCAGACGTCGCGCAGGACCGAGCCCTGGGCGTAGATGTGCGGGAATTCCTCCTCCACCCGGCGCCAGCACGGCCCCGAGAGCGAGCTGCGGCACAGGGCACCCCGTCAGCCTCCGCCGGCGGAGGAGGAGGAGGAGGGAGAGGGGGAGGAAGGCTCAGGTACTCACTGGAAGGGCTCCCTCCGGCGCAGCGGCGGGGCCCTGGGCGGCAGCGAGCCCGGCAGGCTCTCGAAGCCCAGCGCGTAGACGGGGATGTGAGCCAGCTTCTTGGAAGGCATCTTCATCTGCCGGAATGCGGGAGTCAGGGCGGGATGGGACAGGGACAGGGATGGGATAGGGCATACAGGAATGGGGATGGCTGCAGTGACAAGACAGGACAGGAGTGGAGTGGGATGGGACAGGGACGCAGTGGCACTGCCCAGAGCCAGTCCCTTACCTTTAGACTGCAGGAGCTACAGACAGACCTGGGTACACAGAGAGAGGTGGGTGAGAGGGGCCATTGTGGCGACCCTGCTGCTGCCCTCCCAGCCCCGTGGCACGGCACAGCTTGGCACAGCTTGGCACAGCATGGCACAGTGCTCACCGCTTGCAGAAGAAACACGATGCAGGCCAGGAGAAGAGAGGAAACTTGGCCCTGCAGCAGCAGCAGACCTGTGGGCAGAGCAGGGTGAGCTGGGGGTGTGTGGGTGGGGACATGTGGCCCCCAGCCCCTCCAGCCCCCCATTCCCACCTTCCCCCTCCGCAGGCTGCTGTACAGCTCCTTGCTCTGCAGGAACTTCTCCATCTCAGCCTTGACCAGCACCCTGCGCACGTTGATCATCTCCTCCACAGTCAGGGCCAGGCTCTCCACAGGGTGGCTGAACTCCTGTGGAACAGGGGGGAAATGTCACATTGAACTGTGGCACTGTGCACTCCTCCAGAGCACTCCTGTGCCAGGGCAGAGACTCCAAACATGGGCAGAGTATCCCTGGCATAGGCAGAGTGTCCCAGGACAGGCAGAGTATCTCTGGCACAAGGACCCCCAGCCTCGGCTGTTGTCCCCAGCCCGTGTTCCCATCTGGTGTCCCCAGAACCCACCAGCCAGAGGTGCTTGGAGCTGCTGGCAGGGGCAGCACTGGATCCATCCTCCGGCCTCTCTTCCACAGCGCCGAGGGCAGCCCGGGGCAGTGCTGGGCCATCTGGCAGTGGGTGGCAGCTGGCGGGGACAGAGCCTGCCGGGAGGGACAGAGAGGCCATGGCAAGGACATGTTGCCCAGTGCCTCCACTGCTGAAAGGCGGGGCACAGACCCCTGGGGACAGAGACATGGGGACTCCTGGCAGTACCTGAGCGGGGCCGGGGCTCGGGCTGCAGTGGCTCTGGGTCCCGGGGCGCAGCCTGGTCACCCCCCAGCTGGCTCTGCAGCTGTGCCAGGTCCTGCTCTGAGAAGGAGCGATCCCGCTTCAGTGGCACCTCTGTGGCCGGAGAGTCCTCATCCTGCAAGGCCATGGCACTGTCACCAAGGGCACCCCGGCACCCCCCGAGACTCCCCACCTCTGCAGGTTCCCCCTTGCCTCAGAGAGGTTCATCTCCTCCATCTCGGCAAGGGTGGGCGCCTTGAGCAGGACGCGTGGCCGTGGGCGCACAGGCACGGCGCTGGCCGGGCACCGGGACAGCTCGAGGCAGGAGCTGGAGGTCAGGTGGCCAGCACAGGCGTGTGGGATGCAGGGCAAGGAGCTGTATCCTGCAGAGGGACAGGCTCAGTGCCGTGGGGATGGGCACACAGGTGACATAGCACAGCAGGGAGGGGACATCGGTACCTTTCTGCTCCACGGGCCGGAGCTTCCGCTCCTGCCTGATCTCCTCCAGGATCTTCTCATGGAGCGTCCTCTGCTTCTGGGGCAGTGGCCGCAGCCGCCGCTCTGATGCCTGTGGGATGCACAGATGGGACACCCAGGGATGGCACCCATGGGACCCACCAGCATTGTCACACCAGGGAGGTGGCCCCGTGCTGGCACCCACCTGCTTCAGGGGGGGGCGTGAGCGGATGAAGTCAAGTATGAGCTCGTGGGCATCTTTCTTCACCCGGGGGGGGATATCTCCATCCACCTGGGGAGAGAAGGGGGTCAGTGCGGGGCTGGAGAGTGGCAGGATGGAGGGTGAGGGGCTGGCACGGTGGCCACGCTCACCATGACCTTGCGGAGTTTGTAGTTGCGAGCACGGATGTCCTGCATGAGCATCTCAAAGGGTGTGAGCTGGTACTCGGTGGGCAGAGGGTTGAACTGCTTCTCTTGCACCTTCTTCAGCTTCACTCCGTGCCGCAGCTCCCTCATCAGCTGCACCCACAACCGGGCCTGGGGGCACACACAGACACGGTGTCAGCACCTTGCCATGGCCGGCACAGCCCCCATGCCCGGCCACGCTGCCGTACCCAGTCTGTGTTGCGCAGGTTGCCCAGCTCCGCCGCCGGCCGCTCCTCCTCTTCCTCATCCTCCTTCAGCTTCTGCAGTAGCTGTTGAGGCACAAGATGCTGTCACCCTGTCCTGGTGGCACTGAAGGTCCAGCCGGGAATGGAGCGCTGAGGTGCACCCCAGTTCCTGATTCCCAGCCAGCACCGCAGTGTGGCAGAGGCTGTACGGCCAAACACCGGCACCAGCAGCCCCGGTTGGGATGGGCAGAAGGGGCACTGCAGCCTCCCCAGTCCCTTGTCACTGCAGGTGCTTTCCTCGGCAGGGCGGCGGTGCCAGCGGGCACCCATGCTCACCTCCTTGGCATCGCGGATCTTGGCGAGGAAGGCCATGAGCTCCACGGTCTCGGCGAAGAGGGCGCGGCACACAGCCTGGTAGTGCGCCGGGGCGCCCGCGGGGTCGGCCAGGCGGGCGGCACAGCAGCGCATGGTCTGGCCGAAGGTGCGCACGGAGCGAGGCGGCCCCTCGCCCCCCTCCTCCTCCTCATCCTGCCCCCCATAGCCCTCGTCGGCCGTGGCGCAGCCGCTGTCCTCGGAGTCGCTGTTGGTCATCAGGTCGATGAGCTGCTCCAGGCGCGGGCTCAGCTCCCGCTCCTCGTTCTCGTCCAGTCCCCAGTCCAGCGCCCGGTACACGGCAAAGCCCAGCGACTGCACCATCTGCGGGGGACAGCACCGGCTGGGGACCCCGTGCACCCTGGCACCGGCTGTCCCCGCTCCCCCCTTGCTGCTGGGTCCTATCCCAGGACCTGTGACCCCCGGGTGAGGGGGGCAGGGAGCCGTGCCCACCCCACACCGGGCTGGGATGGCAGACGGGGCAGGTCACCGGCCCCCACGTACCTGGGCTTCGGCGGAGGGCGTCAGCAGCGCGGGCAGGTCTGGGGGAGGAGGGCAGAGTCACCACCGGTACCCACGGCCCCGTGCTGAGTACTCCACTCTACATCACCCAGGGATGTGGTACCCACCCACTCTGGCTGTGGAGCCCCCACCCTGAGCTGCTGACACCCCCTGCTGCTCCTCCCCCCAGCTGGGATCCCTTCCCTGGCTCATCCCGCGCTGTCCCGGTCCCAGGGCATAGCTCCAAGGGACAGTGGGCACCTGCCCGTTGAGCCCAGCTATCCGGCAGTGCTGGCACAGCTGCCCAGAGGGCACATTGTGGGGGCACAGGCATCCGTGTACCCCTCACCTCCGGGGCTGGAGGGAACTGAGAGCTCTGCACCCCCGGGGGAGCTGCCCCCTGCACTCCTCTGGGATGTGGACACCAGCAGTGTGGGGACAGGCAGCCGCAGCTGGAGCATGGCACACACGGGAATCCCAGGACATGTTTGTGGGCAGTTTGAACCCTTCTGGCAGCTGCAGCACAAGGAACACCAGTGGCCTCTGCAGTGTCCCCAGGGCTCCCGGCTGCACTTCCCTCATCATTAGCTCTGCATTGAGCTGATCAATGCGGCAGCCACCAGGATGTGCCAGCCGTGTGCAAGCCAGGAATGGACAGGAAAGGCAGCACAAGTGGTGGCCTTGCCATGGTACTACACACAAGCCCATCAAAAAACCGTGTCCCGGACTGTGCCTGGCTCCCACTGCAGTGACAGCTCCTGGGATGCCACCTGGTGGGTCCCAGCAGCTCTCGCCAGTCACCGGGGCACAGCTTGAGGAGGGAATTCCCGTAGGACGGGGGAGTGGAGCGGTTCCAGAGGGTGCTGCTGGCTCACCTAGCCCGGATCCAGCCCTGTGCCCTGGCACACCTGCAGCACCGCACGTGCTGCAAAGCCACGTGCCAGGCTGGTGCCACCACCTGCAGTGGCACCGAGAGGCACCCGGAGCCCTCCCAGCCTCAGGCTTCACTGTAAAGCTTTCACTGTTTCATCCCTGGGGACACGGCTCAGGTTGGCACAGAAGCAACCTGGGAGCAGGAGGTGGCACGGTAGCACTGATAGGTGGCACTGGCAGGTGACGCGGGCTCCAGCCCTGCGGTGGCTCAAGGCAGGGTGTGGGGCCACTGCCATGCAGGACCAGTGGAGCCGGTGTGACCACGCCATGCCCAGCTGCCACGGGCACGTGCCATGCCTGTGCATGTCCCTGCCCTGGGCATGGAGCCACCGGATGCGCCCCCGTGTCCGCTCAGCCACCGGCACTGAGGACACACAGTGACCCCACAGTGTCCCTGCCCAGTGTGAACGAGGCCACGCAGTGACTCGATGACAGCAGGCGCCATCCCCGGTGGCCTCGCTGTGGGGCGAGACGGGTGGAGGCGCTGGCCATGCTCCAAGTGCTCCTCGTGGCATCCAGCCACCCGGTGTCACCGCTGGCAGCCAGCCTGGTGACACCCCGGAACCGTCACAGCCATACCCGGCAGTGCAAGCCACCTGTGGAAGGGTGGCTGGGAGGCCAAAGGCCAGGGATGGGGCTGTCCCGTGTGCCACTCCCGGGGCCCGGAGCGGGGGACAAGGTCCCCTGCAGTGCAGATGGGTGCCCATGGATGTGCCTTGTGTCGGTCCATCTGTCCTTGCTGTGTGTCCTGCAGCCCCTTGGTGGATGCCAGGACCCCGCAAACACCCACACGTGTCCCACAGCGTCACTGGGTCACCTGGGACGTCCAGTGCTAGTGACCTTGTCGGTGATTGTGCCAGTAGCAGTGCCACGCCAGACCCCCAAGTCACCAGCCCACGCCCTCCCCAGGCCCCAGGCCATCCCTTGCACCGATACCGGCAGTGCTGGCGTCAGTCCCCCTTGCCAGGGCCAGGGCTTGGGGCTCACCCCCATTCCTGCCGGTGCCGCTTTTCTGCTCCCCGGTGCTGGTACCGGCCCTTTTTCCTGTCCTCACAGTCTGTCTGGTGACCCCCTGCACCGCTGCCCTGCTGCCGGTGCCTCGATGCCTGCCCCCCCTCTCCGGTGCCACTTCTCCTGCCCATCTGCCGCTCCGGGACCGCTTCTTCCCCGCCGCTGCCGGTCCTTCCCGCCGGGGCCTCTGCGGGTGCCCCCCCGCTGCCGATACCCCCGGTCCCTCCGCGTTCCCGACGCTGGTGCAGCACCCCCTGCCGGTGCCGGTAAATCCCGGTGCCGGTAAGTCCCGGTTCCCCTAAGTCCTGGTGCCCCTAAGTCCCAGGTCCCCGCTCTTTGTGCTGGTAAGTCCCGATGGGCCGGGTCCCGCTGCCGAGAACTCCCGGTGCCAGCAAGCACCGGTGTGGGTAAATCCCAGCGCCTCGCTCCTGGTGCCAACAAGCCCCGGTGCCGGTAAATCCCGACATCCCGGATCCCCGTGCTAGTTAGCCCTGGTGCCGGTAAGCTCTGGTGTCCCCGTGCCTTTAAGTCCCAGTTCCCCGTTCTTTGTGCTGCTAAGCTCCGGAGCAGGAAAGCCCCGGTTCTGCCTCCTAGTGCCGGTAAGCTCCGGTGCCCCGCTCCCAGTGTCGGTAAGCTCCGATAAGCCCCAGTGCCAGTACGTTCCGGTGTCCCGTAAGCCCCGCTAAACCTTGGTAAACCCCCGTGCTCCGCTCCCGCGGTGCCGATAATTCCCAGTGCCTGCAAACACTGCTGCCCCGCTCCCGGTGCCCGCAAGCCCCGGTGCCCCTCGGTGCGCTCCAGCAAGTCGCGGTGCCCGTAATCCCCGGTAAACCCCGGTTATCCCCGCTTGGCGGTGCCGTCCCGTCCCCCCCCCCGCTCGGGCGCCGCCCGCTCCCGCCCCCCCCGGCAGCGGCGGCCCTCACCGTGCGGCGGGGCGGGCAGGCGGACGGAGCCGTCGGCGCGGAGGCGGATGTCGGTGGTGCGGAGCGGCGCGGGGGCCACGGGGGCGGCGGCGGCGGCGCGGCAGCCCTGGAAGCAGATCGCCCAGGCCTGCTCCTCGTTCAGCGGCTGCTCGTAGCACTTCAGCACCTCCTCCAGGGACAGCTCCCGCGGCGGCCCCGCGCCCGCCCGCGCCATCGCCCCATCCCGCACCGCCGAGCGCGGGCGGGGCGCGCCGGGCGGGGGAGACGGGGCGAGGCCGCGCGGGGCCACGCCCCAACAAGCCACGCCCACTCCGCATCTCCATCCCGCACCGCTGGGGCGCGCGCCGGGGGCGGGGCCGAGAAGGGGAGGGGCGGTGGGAGAGACCCCGCCCCCCGCACCGGCACC